CGGCGTCCAGACGGGCGGCGCGGCACCTCCGAAGCGCCGGCCACGGTGTGAGTGGCGGTTCCTAATAACAGGGCCTTGACCTGCTGAGGTGAATCGCGTGCGGGTTATGCCCCGTATTCTGTGATATCAAGGGTGGCCGGCTCAGTTGGACTTGGCGCGGCGCACTAGTACTGCCAGCCGGGCCCGCGGAGCTCCTCCGGAGTTCATTTAGTAATGCTCTGTCGCTCCAGCGCGCATTGTGGGGGCAGGTCATCGAACCCATGATAACCATGACTGGGAACCCTCCACCTCTGACGCCGGCCGGCCGAGTTGGAGCTTAATTGGAGCCCAGACTCCGGTTGAGTCTTAGTCCGGGCATTGACTGATTCCGACTACCGGTCAAGGTGCATGCCGCAGAGTCTTACTACTAGAAGAACTTCCGCTTGTGTTATTCACCAGTGCGCCCGCGCCGCTGTCTTTGACGGATCGACGGCCGAAACCCCAGGCCGAAACCACATGCCTGGTCGTTGCCAGTAGTGACCTGAAATGATGAGATGTTGGTTGACACTTGTTTACAGTGTTTGTGGCTTCCTGGACAGGCTTCCTGGAGGCTTATACGTTGAGTTATATCCAAAAGCAACCCAAAAGGCCATACTAGCCAACACCAAAATGTCTGGCGTGCCAAGCCGATAGAATGGCATTAATGCCTGATGGGCTGGCGTTGGCTTTGATCGCCAGCCAAACACCATTTCCATGCCACTTGGCGCTCGCGCACGCTATTCGGCCACGCCAAAATGTTGCCTCTTGCTAGTGTAGCATCTACAGTTTATTACCAGGAATCCTTAAAATGTGTAATTTAATTCTGCTAACAGCCTGTTTGTACTGTGCCATGGCAATACAGATATCTACACTGATTGAGGTCTTAATACTTTATAATACAGCATCTAAGCTATATATTATTGTTTTGTAGAATTGCAAGAAGCAGTCAGAGACAGTTGTCACTAGCTCTTTAGATTTGAATAGATTTTTATGACTATGATTCAAATGCTTGTGCAGAGATGCTAATAAATTAAGTAAAATCTTTGTGTGGTGCTCCTTGAGGTAATATATTATCAGTGCTCTAAAAAAAGTGTAATCACCTCTAAGGAAAAAGCGCTAATGTAATGTAGCTCTATAATATTTATAAATAAGGATCTGACTTAAAGCCCACATATTTACCAACCAATCCAATAATCTTTAAGAAATCTATAATTCTCTTGATATCCACTATTTTAATAATCAAATTACTAGCCATCCTTATAGCAGCAAAGCACTGCAGAACACCTAAAACATGCTTTTAGAGCTGCTTTTACATAGATATCAAGCAACTTGTAGAGAAGAATCTAAAATACATAGCTATTTCTATACTAACTTTATTGTATCTGCCCAGACAGGAATGAGACTGGGTCTCACTATAGATAATAGCCTAGTAAGGGTCTTAAAACATTTATTTATTATAAGGCTTTGCATTGTCTGCTTGCATTTCACAATATTAGAGCCCGCCTGCTGAATTATTGTATATATAGTTGCAAAGCAGAGATAACACCTTTTACAAGAAGCCTTTTTTAAAAGTTTGTCAATTTAGGCTATGCCCGTTAAAAGGTGAAAAAAGTTAATAAGCTCCTTTATACCTTGCGTGATAGTGTTCTGTTTGCATAATAGGTTTATTTTATAAATAAAAAATATTATTATTGTTTTAAGAACTTTATATAGTAATCAAGAAGCAGAACACTAAAAGACTGTCTTCCACGCTGAAACAAAGTTAGAGTAAAAATTAAAGTGATCTAGACCTTCATATCTAGAGTAGAGATCTTTATAGTAGCAGAGCCATACCCAGATGCAGTTGCAGAGCTCCAGAAATGCTTTTAATAACAACAGAGAAGAAAAGCTTGTTTAGTCTAATATATAAGTTAGTAGTAGAATTATTTTATTGGCACGATTGGCAGCATTAACCTGCTTTTAAATGGCTAGCTGTGGCTATGGCTTAGCGGGGTTTAAAGTGCAATATATGATGTATATTAGAAGGCTAAAGTAGGTCTTGAGAGACTTCTTTTTTACACTGTGAAGTCAGAGGGCTTTAACCACCTTAAATAAGCTGTTGAGAGTTTATTAAGTAAGCTGCTGCAAAAAGATGTTAAAAGGCATCAGAGAGATTTAACAACTAAGCTACGTACTTAAATATTAACAGGGATTATTTTCAAGTTCATTAGATTAAACAGCAAATATATAAAGGTCAAGAGCAAGAGTTGCGACTGAGCTTGTCAAAACTAATCTCAAACTTGCCAACTCTATTACCAGTCTTATGCCCAAATACTAGACTCTCAGAGGCGCCCTATTGCAAGTCCGTCAGGCTGCAAAACACACTTAGCACAGACTCTGCCAGCATGAGTGATGTTGATTATGCTAAGGTCAGGGAATAGTATAGTGATATATGCTAGGGCTAGATAATAATGTAAATAATAACTTATAAAAGTGATTGGATATACCCTAAAGGCAAAGTCTATGTGTTTGCAATAGATATCTATATATTACAGGGCACCAGTGCCACCCACTAGGTGCTTGAAACTACCTGCTACAGATAAGTTGAAAGAAAAACAAGAGAAAAACTCACTAGTGCTCTACCTGTTAATCCTATATATCTCTTCTAATTAGAAGTAAGGCTACAATAGGGTCTTACTTATAAGGACATCATGTGTTAACAATCTTATCTGTCTAAGGCTTAATACTTATATTTTCTTACTAGCATCCAGGAGTTTGCTTATTAACGCAAGGCAAGATAGAAGCTAAATATGCTCTTTGTGCCAGGGCTGACAAGATATTCTAACTTCAACTTTAAGTACTACTACTAGAAGAGTGTTCTATAAGCATACCTAGATGACTTGTATCACGGCTAACAGATTCCCCTTCTAGATGGAAATATATTTACTAAATCAACAAGCAGGTTTCTGTTTACACTTTGATATCTATATCCCTTCTCTAGCAATTTCTGCTAACAAGCTAAGTATACTGTCTGTCATCAATAACTAACAATTTTATAATATACTTAAGCATAAGGCTTAGATTCCAGAGGATCTAAAAAGGTAAGTTACCTATTTTAGTGTAATCATTAATATAATATTACTTATATATATATATTAGGTATATATAAATATGCAAGTAGTGTTGCTTAACCCACGGTTCATCTACAGATTACGCAGGTAACCTATGGATTGATCTGTGCATGAGCATCATCACAAAATTAAAGTTGTGTATCTTAACTAACTTTCATTAAGTAACCTATGATCACAGGTGAATGATTGTGCCCCCTCCTCTTTTATTATCTCTCCTATTGTAGCTAAATCTTTTTCTATATTTAACTTATTGTCCTCTAAGGACCAGGTCTCTAAATTAATATATTCTTGATTATTTTAGCTTGTCTTGGAAAATATAAATTAGGCCCTCTTGTTTTACCTGCACAATAGTAAATACATAGAATACAGCTGAAGAGTTAGCAGCTGGATAGGGTATTTAAAAACCTTTGGAGTTGATAAAGTTACACTAAACTTAGCAATTCTAATTTATAAGCAAGATCTGATCCTATTTACTAACTTTAGTGACTTTCCTTTATTTCCCTATAAATCTGGACCTCCCCTTTTAGGCACCTAAAGAATCCCTGCTCTGCCTTCTGTTAAAACAAGTTCTAGATGGATAGACTACTAGAAAATCTGTCCTGGCTATTAAACATTAGAGAGAACAGAACAAAAATTTGCAAGACAAAATTACCATTTAGTAGGTCCTACAGCCCCTATCTTATTGTTACAGTATATTAAATAATTTTGTGTACCTTTAAAAAGTGTGTTCACTCTAAAAATCTTAGTCATTCTCTGTTACCCTTTCTCGCCTTCAACAAAAGCATTCACTTTGAATTACTGTCACTATTTAAGAACAGTAACCCACACTTATCCTACTTATAATCTTTTCTTATACCTAAGGAGCTGATCCTTAAAAAAGGAGTTTTATTATAATTACTTACTCTAGTTTGATAAACTTCCCCTTTTTATAAACCTTGCGTGTTATAAAAATAAGATAGAGAGACTTACCTCAGATATTATACCCTGCAAAATGTGTGTTCTCCCTCTGTTCCCTCTGCCCTTTCCACTAGATATTATAAACTAATGTATCCCTATGCCTACTAGGTTGTAAAAGGCAATGTAGGTTCTATAGCTCCTTTATAAAAGTTTGGCTATTATTTAAAAGGTGGTCAGCCTAAGTGCAAGCACCCTAACAAAAGATCTTAAGATAAACCACTTTTAAATTCCCTCTCTGTTTAAAGCAGGCCCAGAGTTAACTCCTAGCTCAATCCATCTGATAAGCAAGATGTCGTGCTTGATGTCCAGCTCACTTGTCTCAGTGCTGCAGGCTATATTATTTTCTACCTCTTTGTAGAAGCTCGAACACATCTGATGTCGATGCAAACTTACCTCAATCATGTCTTGATCACGGACACATGCTAAAACGTGGGAAATGAATGTAAATACTTGATATCTTGGCCAAAATCTGAAATTTCCTTATCGGGAAAATCTTATCTTATCGTGGGAAACACCTTCCTGATATAGAAGGAGGGGAAGGAGTCCCAAACAGCCCTTAAAAACTTTTTTTGATGGTATATCCGTTTTTCAAAGAATGGCACCCCCTTGTGGCAAATGGTATTTTGCAGGGAGGTCCATAGGGGATTCTCCCCCCTTTGTTAACAACAAAGGATTCTTTGTCTTCTATCCAACTCCCATTTGACCCTCATTGCCCAACTGCTGCTGACATTGCCCCCAGTGTCTGCGAGCTTATAGTTGCATTGACTATGGATTCACAGAAAGACTTCTCATTTAATCAGATTCTGTAGAGTGTTGTACTTTTTCTTCTTTTTTCAGAACCTGCACCAGCACAAACAACTCAGCGCAACCATAAGTAACACCTCTGACAGCGCGTGAACGCCGAGTCCCTGACCAATGATGTTGATCGCGACCGGTGACCATCAGCGTCGCATATCACACCTATCACATCGCGTGGTCATCGTCCCTCTCTTCCACCGTTGTCACCCGCCCCCCTGCCTGCTTAACTCCTCTCCGACACTGACCGAACGCAAGTGGCGCGAACCACTGCAAGCCTTACGGAGAAGAAGTATGAGTGCGGATGCTGCTCCGGCCCTACCGCCGCCGCCACCGACGATCGATTTCACGCAGCATGTGCTGGAGGATGGGACGACGATAAGCACGCAGGAAAGAGTTATCAAGGACGTACGTCTATTCCAATCTACGACGTTCCGCACATGTCTGGCACTCACCTCGATACGTCCCCGTCCACCTCTATCTCCACCCCCGGTATCCGGATCTAACTTTGCCCAGGTCCAAGCCCCCGCGACCCACATCCCCACACACGACGAGCTCTTCTTGCCCTCACCGGATAGCCCCGGCGGGCGTATACCCAACTTGGCCTTCCTCAAGAACCACTTCTACCGCGAGGGCCGCCTGAGGGAAGAGGATGCGCTGTGGATAATCGAGCGTGGCACAGAGATTCTGAGAGAGGAGCCCAATATGCTGGAGTTGAGCGGGACGGTGACAAGTGCGTGCTTCGTTTTGCTATCAGGAAAGATGGTCTGAAACCTTGAAGTATGTGGGGACATACACGGGCAATATGTGCGTAGCTTCTTTGCGTCATAAGCCTGTTCCTCACTACCGCAGTACGACCTCATGAAACTCTTCGAGTTCGGTGGCAACCCGGCGGAGACCCCTTACCTTTTCCTGGGCGATTACGTGGATCGAGGCTATTTCAGCGTCGAGGTGTGCTACCCTGCTACATTCCTGTCCTGCCTCGCTGACGGAGCCTAGTGTGTGCTCTACCTCTGGGCGCTCAAGATTGTATATCCGACATCCGTTTTCCTGCTTCGTGGAAACCACGAGTGCCGCCATCTCACGGATTACTTCACCTTCAAGCTCGAATGTAAACACAAGTACTCCGAGCGACTATACGACGCCGCCACACTGTCTTTCTGCTCGCTCCCCCTCGCTGCGCTTCTGAACAAGCAATTCCTCTGTTTGCATGGCGGGCTCTCCCCAGAACTGGGTACGCTGGCCGACCTACGCGGCATTGACCGCTTCCGCGAGCCTCCGACGGCCGGGTTGATGTGTGATATCTTATGGGCAGACCCGATCGAGGACTTCGGGAATGAGAACACCACAGGCCCTGGGGGCGAAGCGCACTTTGTCCACAATCATGTCCGCGGGTGTAGTTATTTCTTCACGTACGCCGCCACTTGCGCCTTTCTGGAGCGCAACGGACTGCTTAGCGTTATTCGGGCCCACGAGGCGCAGGACAGCGGGTGAGTAACCTGCGTTCTTGCGCTTTCATATTCTAATGGACATACAGGTACCGCATGTATCGCAAGACTCGCACGACAGGCTTCCCGGCCCTTATGACGATTTTCTCGGCACCGAACTACCTCGATATGTATAACAACAAGGCGGCAGTGATCAAGTACGAGAACAACGTGATGAATATCCGTCAGTTCAACTTCTCGCCGCATCCGTACTGGTTGCCGAATTTCATGGATGTTTTTACCTGGAGCCTGCCCTTCGTCGGCGAAAAAAGTGCGTTCGTCATGTACATATCTTCTGGGGGCTCATAGGAACATAGTTACCGACATGCTTGTTGCGGTGCTAAACACATGCACGAAGGAGGAACTCGAGGACGATTCCGAGGACCTTCCAACGTCGCCCACGTCACCAGTTTCTCCGAGCAGCCCCGAGGAGCGGAAGACGGTGATCAAGAGCAAGATTATGGCCGTCGGGCGTATGGCGCGTGTGTTTGCGCTGCTGCGGTGCGTGTCCTTCCCCCTTCGGTCAAGCAACATGCTCAAGTTTCTTCTAGAGAGGAGTCAGAGAATGTCTCAGAGCTAAAGAACATCTCGGGGTCCGGGAAACTGCCGTATGGCGCGCTTGCATCGGGCTCGGAAGGCATCAAGCTAGCAATTAGTGGATTTGAGGATGCGTGCGTGGATTTCTTCTTTATCAAACTTTCTCGTCGTCCTAATAGGGCGCTAGACGCAAATCCGACATTGAGAATGAGCGCCTCCCACCAGAACTCGTCGACGCCGAGTCAGAAGCTGGAAGGGCGATGATGGCTGGTGGCGGAAGCGCCGCATCTGGCTCGCCGGTGTCCAGCGCCCCATCGTCGCCGCTCCTGCCTGCAACTCCGGGAGACAGCGCTCCTATACCCGCCGTCGAGGACAAAGACGCTTCTGTGGTCGTGACGCCCGCAGCAGCAACACCGCAGTCATCCTCCGCGCCGTCGTCCCCTGCCCCCACCGGCCCGCTTCCAACGCCGTTCCGTCGCGGACACGCTCGACAGGCGAGTCTCGGGACGACCATGACAAGCCCAAGCACACGAAAGCGCGGGCTGGAGGACACGATTGGAATGATCCAGGGAATCTGGGATGCGGCCACGCCGGCTGGGAAAGACAAGGAGGCAGTCGTGGGAAAAAAGGAGGCAACGGACGAGGAAAAATAGACAGCATGGATGGTACAGGGATCTTGATACTGGGTTGACGAACATTTGAATGGGATGGATATAGTACGACACTTTACAGAATTCAAGTACCCGTTTTCAAGCTGCTATTGCAGGCCTTGGTGAAGACAACCTAGGTATATATATCCGAGTCTTGCGGTCGGGGTATCACTTTTCTCGTAAAATGGTAACATATCTATTACTGGAATGGTTGCTCAGCAAATATGGTCCCGGTGGAAACTCAACTGGCTGCTTATAACTCTAACGAACCTAACTTGACTGGGTTGTTGATAGGCTCAGGCTACCCTCATCTACGATAAGAGAACCGTAGAGAACTTCTTTGATTTATCTTATTCATTAAAAAGTACTAGTTGTTAAATTTTCTTCTGTCATCAACAAAAAAGACAAAAGTCCAGGAGAAAACAATAGATTTTCTAATGAATAAACCTTTGCAAAGAAGTTACTGCATTTGGAATAGCTTGTTGCAGTTCAAGGACCTATGATTTGCTTTTATGTTTCTGAATAAAGAATTTCCTTATTGAAGACTACTACTCTGGCAGAAACCAAATGCATTTTTTGTTTGAACTTCCTGTAAGGGAAATTTAATGAATTTAGTGTGCATAAATCCCTTTTGTCAGGGGAACCTCCCTTTCGGCCCCTCGGAGACGCCTCCGATTCCGGTCCGACTCCGGTTCCGTCTCCGGTCCGGCCCTCCATCTCGCCCGCACAATCACCGATCCGTCAACGCCCTCCCGACGGTCGCCCTGGGACCTCGCCTGCGACGCCGCCCAAGCCTTCTGTGCCCGACAGCGGCAGCTACGGACAAGCAGTATATAGTCAGCTACCTAGCAGGCGGACCCTTAGAGTTTCTTCTCTTCGGATCCTCCCCTGCTAGGTCAGCTTCATTTGTATTCGCTTACCAATGTTCACTCTTCGGATCCTCCCCTGCTAGGACCTTGATCTCAGGCCTCCGGGGTTGCCCTTACAGCAGAAGAAACTCTCTACGGGATCAACCGGACAAGATTGCCAGGTTCGGCGCTGACTCAGGCTCGGAGTACGAGTCCGTTCCGCCCTCGTCACCGCCCCTGCCACTTGTCCCCTCCTCCTCTACTCCTGTGGTCCCCGCACCCGTCATGCCGTCCGGAGTCACTCCTACCGCAGACGCCCGGCTGGACTCACTCGAGGCGAAAATTGATAGCCTAACTGAGGCCCTTGCTTTACTCACCAACCAGGCTTCCGCTGCCGCTGCCGCCGCTAATAATGCGGGCGGACCCCAAACACCTTCGCCGGAGACGTCGATTTCGACTCCGACTCCGGTCCAGGGCGACTCCGAAGCCCTTTTTGGCGACATCAACCTCGCCTCAAAATTGGTCTTGCGACCAAACCCCCCGTTCACCTTCAACGGCGACCGGAAACGCGGCCGCGCGTTCCTCTCGTCCCGCACCTCGCCCGCCTTGCCCCTGAGGCCTTCGTGGTCAACGGAGAGGCGAGCGAGGAAAAGGCCGTCCGCTATGCCATGTCGTTTATGGCAGAAGGACCCGCTCAGCAATGGGCAGAGCGCCACGGAAGCAAAGCCCCGTTTCCGTTTCCGTCCTGGGGCTCGTGCGTTTCCGAGTTTCGACTCCGGTTCGTTGAGGAGAACGAGCAAGATCACGCTCTCTCCAAGCTGGAGACTTCCGCCTATCACATGGGCACAAAGGATGTCTACCAGTACACCGACGACTTCGAGGACCTGATGGACCTCGCCGGATTCGAAGACGCGCTGGTCAAGGTGACCAAGTTCCGCCACGGACTTGACCCCTTGATCAACAACGGAATCACGTCCTCGAACGACCCCCGGACCTCCGGGATTACCTTAGCTGGCGCACCCGGGCCTTCCGTCAATACGAGGCCCTGGTCCGGGCCAAGCTGATCAAGTCAGCCGCCCCCAAGACGCCTGGCGGTTTGATTCGGACTCCGTTTCCGGTCAACCGCATCCCGGCTCCGGCCCCTTCCCGCCCGGTGGCTCCGGTCGTGCCACCCGCGGCCCGCGCCCCGCTCCGGCGCCTCCAGCTCCCGTCCCAATGGAGTTGGATCGCACCAGGGCTCGGGGTGCCCCTCGCCGCGCCTGCTTCAGGTGCGGCGACCCAAACCATCTCGCCCGGGATTGCCCCCCCCCCGCCGATGTCCGCTCGATGGACATCCTCGACGAGGTGATCCAACAACTCGGTGACGAGATGTTAGCGGAGTTGATCGCCCGCTACACGGACACAGCTGCCCTGCCGGAGACGGCAGCGGAGTCGATGGCCGGAGAGGATTTTGTCCCCGCGACGAGTGACTGGTGTGCCCTCGTTCGCGTCTATAAATCGTTTTGCCTCTTTGTATGATGAATGCAGTTCCTTGCCCTACAATGAGCCCGAAACGAAAGACACACCCTCTCCTGCCCCCGCCTCGACTCCGTCTCCGACTCCGCCCGCAACTCCGGTCATCGTCCTTCGCCGCCTCACTGCCTGGGAAAAGAAACTGCCCAAGCAGTACACCGTTGCCGCTGCCCCCGGGGCGAACTCCCTCCACCTCCCGTTGGAGCTTGAGTCCACCACCAGCGCGCTGAAGCTCCAGAAGCGTCTCCGCTCCGGCCCGTTCCCCTCGGTTTGCACTATGGACCTCTCTGGCCCTGAGGACGGAGACGATTCCGATTCCGGTCTCGATTCCGACCTGCCTGATCTGACGCCGGACTCGGACTCGGATGACGAAGATGACCAGCTCGAAGATGGTGACCGCATCTTCTACACCTCGTTCCGTCCCTCAGAGGAGATACGCGCAGGTAGCACCGTCTCACAGCGTCTGGCCGAAGCCTTCGCCAAGAACCCCGCCCCACCGCCCTCCGAGATCCCGGACTGGGCTAAGGAGTTCCAGGACGTCTTCAACAAGGAGTCCTTCGACACGCTACCGGGCGGAGAGCCTGGGACCACGCCATTGAGCTTGTCCCCGACGCTAAGCCCACCAACTGCAAGGTGTACCCCATCTCGCCCCTCGAGCAACGCGAGCTCGACGCGTTCATCGAGGAAGGGCTTTCGACGGGCCGGATTCGCCCTCCAAGTCTCCGATGGCGTCTCCGGTCTTCTTCGTCAAGAAGAAGGACGGCGGACTCCGCTTCGTCCAGGACTACCGTGCTCTCAACGCGATGACTGTCAAAAACCGGTACCCCCTTCCGCTGATCAACGACCTCATCAACCGGCTCAAAGGCGCTTGTTACTTCACCAAACTCGACGTCCGTTGGGGCTTCAACAACGTCCGGATCAAGGAAGGTGACGAGTGGAAAGCGGCTTTCCGGACTAACCGAGGCCTGTTCGAGCCCTTGGTGATGTATTTCGGCCTGACAAACTCTCCCGCGACGCTCCAAACGATGATGAATGACATTTTCCAGGACCTCATCCTCTCCGGAGACGTCATGATCTACCTTGACGACATCTTGATCGCCCATTCCGACCTCCGGAAACACCGGCAGATTGTCCAGGAGGTCTTACGGCGACTCCAGGAGCACAAGTTGTACCTTCGAGCGGAGAAGTGCGACTTTGAAAAATCGTCAATCGAGTACCTCGGAGTCATCATCTCCCACAACCACGTCGAAATGGACCCCGTCAAAGTCGCAGGCGTCTCCGCTTGGCCGACTCCGGAAAACAAGAAGGACATTCAGCAGTTCCTTGGGTTCGCTAACTTCTACCGCAGGTTCATTCGGGACTTCTCGACCCTTGCGCGCCCTCTTTTCGTGCTCACCAAGAAGGACCAGCAATGGACTTGGGGCGGCGCGGAGGCCCTCCGCGTTCCAAGCGATCAAGGACGCGGTCACCTCGGAACCGGTCCTGGCGATTCCGGACGACGCACGGCCTTTCCGACTCGAGGCGGACAGCTCTGATTATGCGACGGGGCGGTTCTTTCACAATCCGCCCCGGACGGGAAGTGGCACCCTGTAGCATTCTATTCCAAAAGCTTAAATGATGTCCAGCGCAACTACGAAATCCACGACAAGGAGATGCTTGCGATCATCCGCGCACTCGAGGAGTATAGACACTTCCTCGAGGGCGCCGCGCACCCTGTCGAGATTTGGACTGACCATAAGAATTTGGAGTACTTCAGGAAGACGCAGCACCTCAACCGGAGACAGGCCCGGTGGTCTCTGTACCTCTCCCGGTTCGACTTCACGCTGCACCACAAGCCTGGCCGCGATATGGGTCGGCCTGACGCCCTCTCCCGGAGACCCGACCACGGAGTCGATTCCGACAACTCCGATGTCGTCCTTCTGCGGCCTGAACTCTTCCATGTCCGCGCACTCGAGGGCGTTCCGTTTCCGGTCCCGGCTCTGAACTCCTCCGCGACATCCGTGATGCCCTCTCCGGTGAGCCTGACCTGGAGGAGCCCGTCGCACTAGCGGCCCGGCAACTTCTTAAGGTTCAAGGTCAAGCTCGAGGCCCCCGCTCCTCACGTTCTGACGAGTGGGCCGTCTCCGGCGGTCTTCTCCATTTCCGAGGAAAAATTGTCGTACCAAAGGACAAGGACCTCCGGAGACGCATCATCGAGCTCTGCCATGACACCCGAGTCGCCGGACACGCAGGTCGTTTCAAGACCCTGGAGTTGGTCTCCCGGAACTACTGGTGGCCTCAGATGTCTCGCCATATCGGCCGGTATGTTGCGACCTGTGACTTGTGCTGTCGCACCAAGGCACTCCGGAGACTGCCCCACGGAGAACTGCACCCCACGGAAACGCCCCCGAACGCTGGCATACCGTCTCCGTCGACTTCATCGTAGAGCTTCCCGAAGCCCATGGGTACGACGCGATCATGGTCGTCGTTGACACCCTCGGAAAGCGCCCCACTTCTCAGAGTGTCATACGACGGTCGATGCAGTAGGGGCAGCCCGCCTCTACTACCGGAACGTCTGGCGGCACCATGGGACTCCGGAGAAGTACGTCTCCGACCGCGGCTCGCAGTTCATCGCGGACTTCACCCGAGAACTTTGGCGTCTAA